GGAATTTACTTCCTGTCTCAAGTGTCTGGTGCCAGCCCAGTGGGGGCACAGTGGGCTGTTCAGTTCGCATCTGTGCTGGGCAGATCGACAACTGTGTCCATTCCATGACAGTGACAGGCAGCTGGATGTCATGCCTGATGCCACAGGGCTGGTTGTTTGGAGACAGCTTGACACACTGATGAGAGACATTTGGGCTGAGTCCTCACTGCTGAGGAGGAATCCCCAGAGGGAAAGTTGGCACGGGCGGAGGCCCCGGGGTGGTAGCATTGCTGCGACAGGCACATGGCAGCCGACATTTGCCCAGTGCCAGAACTGGGCATGGCACAAGCAGGGGCTCAGAATGTGATTGCTTTTCTCAGGAAACGACATGAGCTAATGAACTCACAGCACAATGGCCAGTGAGCTCTAGCCGAGAAGCCTGGCCCGTCATGGGACCCCCGCAAGGTGCCCGTCTTCAGGGAGTCTCGAGTTGGCTGCAACTCCTGCGCAAGTATGAGTGTAGAATTCTTAAAAGACGACACTTGCCTGGGAAGCCAATATTGTTCTTGCAGACAGCTTTATGAAGGATGGAATCCATTTCTTTCTAATGAAATATTTATTCATTTGCTATTAATTAGGTCATGTTTGGCTGCAGGCATACTGAAGAGGAATTTGCTGGCACCTGCAGGGCACTTTATTAAGAGCCAAATATCACAGGCAATGCAGGCGTGTTGTGGCCACTTCCGAGCAGCAGCTGGGCCGGTGATGTGCCACAGCCACCGCTGCTCCTTTACATCTCAGCATTTGCTCAGTGACACCCCCTCTGTCCAGCTCAGGAACTGTCCCAGGCCCTCTCAAGGGACTTTCAGCCTCTGTCCCTCGTGGTGCCTGGTTTCCCACACTTGTGCTGACATTTCTGACACAGTGACTTCGGTGTGTGTGCGTGCATGCGTGTGTGCTTGAGTTTATTTATAAAACACATGGTTACCGCTTATAATTGTCCCCAGTCTCTCTCCCTCTGCCGACAGAAAGAGCTTCTTCTGTGAATCAAGTTCTCGGTGCTGTTTGTATGTTGGTTCTTTCCTTCCTTTGCTGGTTCACAGTTGTAACCTCAGCTCTATGTACAAGCCCTTGTAATGACTCCCCAGCACCTTCAGAATGAAAGCCAGCGGTGTAAACTTGCAGGGGCTACTGGAACACAGCCACAGGGCCACAGCGGAAGCTCCTACTGTTGATGCCTTCCTCAAAGAGCACCTCTCTTGCGAAAGTGTCCCTCTCTTCTAAGAGGGCCCTGACACTCAGGCCAGAATCCAGTTTGACCATGTATCAGGTCACTGTGTCCCAGGCAAGGTGTGACTCTTCACAGCAGCCACAGAGAGGGTCCCTATTTCAATCCGAATTTCATTATGGTTTGGAATGAATGTCTCTCAGACTCACGGACTAGATCTGGGTCTCCAGCTGATGGGGTGTGGAGCAGTGAGCGGAAGACTTCAGTGGTGGACCCACCATGGGTGGATTCATAATGTGATGATGACATTGCAGGTGACAGAAATAGGAAGTGGGGTCTGATGAAGGGAGTGAGCCATGGGGTTTGGCCTTGGGGACTGAGTCCTGTCCCAGCCCTTCAGCTCCAACTCTCCTGCTGTCTCTCTGCTTCCCGGCCCCCCTGCTTGCTCCACCACATCTTCCTACATGAGCTCTGCCTAACCACAGGCCTAAAGCAAGGAGCCAGCTGGCCATGGACTGAACCCCCCAAAGCCGTGAGCCAAGATAACACTCCCTTCCTCCAAAGTGCTTCTCTGGTATTTTGTCTCAAAGGAGTCTATTTGGGCCATTACAGAATACCTGGTGAGGTGACATCCATTTCTCCCTGTTCTGGAAGCAGCGGTCTGAGGTCAGGGAGAGGTGGGGACACATTCTGTGGATTCTGCGAGGCCCCTGCCAGGCTGCAGTCTGCTGACTTCTCACTCTGTTCTCCCTTGGTGAAGAGCAAAAGCTCTGAAGAACAGGCGGAGGCCCAGAGAGGGTGGGGCACTTTCCCACAGTCACACAGCAGAGGGAGTGTCAGTTGGAGTGTGCCCAGAGTTCAAACGTCTCTCTGCCTCCATCTTGCTGCCAGACGTGGTCCCACTCCGTGCATCACACTCACCAGCCCTTTTGGTTTGCATTAGCCTCTCCATCTCCCAGGATCCAGAACTGAATTTAATTCTGAGAGTCTGCTCCAAGTGCTAAGCCATCTTGGAGCGGTGACGAGTGCCCTTCTCCCCTTTGGCAGTCTCTGCCCTCCGGAAGCCATGAGCATCTTGGTGTCTTTCCCTGGATAGCACACAACTCTAATCCCAGCCTCAGTGGCTCTGCACAGTGAGATGAGTTGGCATCGAGGTCTTGAGGCCTGAGAGAACATGGCAGAAACGAGGGAGATGAGCGCTCCGGCCGGGCCTTGTTCTCCTCTCCTGTGTGCCTTCATGTGTGGGCCCATTCTCCGGAATTCAGCCTGGATACCCACTGTCCCAGGTTCCTTTGCCCACGGCGCCTTGGCCTGCCTGTGTTTCTTCCCTGTTTTCCAGTTCACTGGCCTGCGAAGTCCGCAGACCTGCCCTCACGCGCAGACTGTACTGGCAGGCGCTTCTGGAGGTCTCGTGACGTGTGCTGTTGAACTCTGCTGACATCTGTCGACCTCCTGCTCTGCCTTAGCTTCACCCCGGTGCAGGGTGGGTCTAACTCGGTTCCAGGAGGAGCAGAGCTGGAGCCAGGTTCCGGCTCACTGCTCTGCCTGGTGTTTGTCCCCGTAGATTTGCAGCACGTCAGAGCTTCCATGGGCCTGACCTCCAGCAGAGGAGGAACCATGGAGCCAAGAGAAAACCTGAGCTCTCGACCAAGCACCCTGCGCGCTGCCTTCCTGCGCAGGTCCTCCAGGGCCCTCTTTCCAGGACGGCAGGGAGCCTGGCCTTCTGGCTTGAGCCTGCAGCAAGGACTGGGCCCCTTTATCTGTAGGGTAGGGGTGGCAGTAGTGCCCGTTCTAGCTGAATGGTGGCCTCCACATGGGAACCTTCCTAAAATCCTAGAACCTGCTCTTCTTTGGAGGTGCAGTGTTCTGGGACCACCGTAGATGCCTGAGACCTCAAATAGGACCAAGCTCTACCTATACTATATTTGTCCTGTACATCCATCCCAATATCAGAGTTTAATTTATAAATCAGGCTCAGTCAGGGTTTAGCAACAATAGCAATACACCCTAACAGTTACTGTAATACCAGCCATTCAAATGTGATCTCTTTCTTTTTCTCTTTCAATATAATTTACGGTCCTCTGCTCAGCTTATGTGTGATGCTACAAGATGGCACAAAATGAAGGAAGCGACACAGCTTCAGGATACTGTGGGAGGGCTATGTGGACCCAGGCACTGAGACCCCACCACAGTCTTTTTGGCCACAGGGAGGGCTGCCAAGTGATTATCATGTGGGTAGCATATGCAGAATGGTTACCCTGCCAGAGAGACAATCCTGGGTGTCCTACAACACCCCCCCTGGGGAGGTGGGTAGCATGGGACAACATGGAATTTCTCTGTGGTACTTACATTTTATAACTTATCAGGTATTCGTCCCTGAAATTTTCAATTCAATGCTGCAGGCCATAGCTGACCTCAGGTTACTGAAGCTGAGGTTCTATGCGAATGTAATGATTTAGGAAGGGCCATCTGAGATTAAGTGCACCCCAGCTACTGTGATTGGTGTTCTGATAGAGAGAGGTGAAGGGGACCCCAGACAGACTCAGAGCGGAGGAGCCAGGTGTCACCTCTGACACGCTCTGGGAGCTGCTCTGCCCACACCTTGAATGTGGACTTTCGGCCCCCAGAGTCTTCTGTGCCTTCAGTGCCTGTGGCACTGAGGGAGGTGACACTTCCCCTCACCATGCTGTTGGAAGATCTGATCCAATCCGATCCTATTTGGTCCTCCTCCCTCATCTTGTTCCAGGCCATGTAGCCCGCGTATGTCCCCAGCCTAGCGTGACTCTTTGAGGCACCTGCCCAAGCCCTGTGCCTCCTGGGTTGCACCCCCTTGCCCTGCCCCTTCCTGGCTTCAGGCTCCCCTTCTGCACTGGGTCCTGGGCAGACCCATCTCAGCCAGCCTGTCCCACCTTGCCCAGGGACTCACTCTTCAGGCATGGTTATGGGTTTGAGTCCTGCCCTGTAGCACAGAGGCTTGAGTGAACATGGCAGCTTCATCATTACACCAGGGCTCCCTCCCTGGAGCAAGGACAGAGGTGTTTGTCACTCACAGGTGACAGGTTAATCATAGTTGTCAGTGCCAGCCTGCAGTCGGGTGCACACTGCACAGGGCTGTGGTGGCTTTCCCAGAAGGAGGCTCCAAGGCAAGGAGAGGAGACAAACCTTTAGGTGAAGCAGGCAGGGGCGAGGGAAGGAGCAGGAGGAAGGCCTGAGAGGAGGAGCTGGGCCTGCTCTGCGCCAGGCAGGCATACTCACATGTCAGGGGCCTTTGACTTCCCCTCCTCCTTATCCTTTTAGTCCTGGGTTTGGGATGAGGACAGGGAGTTTCTGGCTGTGTGGGTCCATTGCTTGGGCTACGAAGTGGGCTCTAATGGCAATAGAGTGACCCTAGGCAGAGCAGAGACAGAGCCCAGGCAGGTGTGTGCTAAGGGGGGAGGGTGCAGGAGTCACTCGGGCAGAGACAGGGTTTGCAGCACACAAGCACATGGATGTCCCAGGGCCACAGTCCTTGGGACAGGGGCTGCAGCAGAGTGTGTGCCTGCGGGTTCCAGGGCCGCTGTCACTGGGGTCCATGTCCACCTTCCTCCTGGGCTGCCAGCCGCCCGGGTCAGGGCTGGGGCTTCCCACTCCTGAACCTGCCCCCCAGCAGAGCTGCTGATGCTTAGCGTAAGCGTCTTCCAAAGGGTGACGCTGGGCCCTCCATGCTGTCCAGACGCAGGGAGCCCCTCGGCTCCCAGGAGCGCGGCACAGCCACAGCCCGGGTGTGAAGTGCTTCTCTCCTCCTGCTGCCCAGGTGTGCATCGTGCAGAAGCGTGACACAAAGAAGATGTACGCCATGAAGTACATGAACAAGCAGAAGAGCATCGAGCGCGACGAGGTGCGCAACGTGCTCCGGGAGCTGCAGGTCATGCAGGCACTGGAGCACCCGTTCCTGGTCAACCTGTGGTGAGTGGCTGCGCCGCGAGGGGCGCCCAGGCAGGGAGCTTTGGGCTGAGGGTAGGGATGATGTGGACGCCTCGTTTCCGCGGCCCTGAGCATGCTTTCCGCCCAAGTGCTCAGCTCTGGGTTTCGTGTTCCTTTCCCCTCTGACCTCTGACCTGGGGGGTCTGCGTGGAAAGTGCATTTAGCAGAGAAGGTTTTGTGTAACTGAGAAAATACATGCCATGTAACAGGATAGTGGCAGATGGTGACTTGGAAGGGGGTTCAGCTCTTCAGAAGGTCACTTCCGCTGTGTGGGTCGCAAGGACAACTGGAAACCTGAACTTCCCTCCATGCCGAGGGACAGCCCAGCACGGGTGTGCTGAATTTGAGGTTCTGAATCGGGCCCTCAGGCCTGTTGGAATCCACATTCCAGAACCTTCTTTTATTTTGAGACAGGGTCTTGCTAATTTGGCTGGGCTGGGACTCTCCATCCTCCTGCCTCTGTCTCTTAGTGTGCTGGAATGACGTGAGGAACCCATGCTGAAGCGCAGGACCCCAGGACAGGAGGCTGGGCCCAAGCAGGCCGGGGGAGCCTCCCCCACTGCCCGCCTTGGTCTCGTGAGCCCAGCATACCTCCGCCACTGAGCACCCAGAGTGCTGGCTTTCCTGTCCACTAGGAAACATCTGTTCCTGGAGAGCCGCGCTGCTTCCTGGTGCTTTGCTCTGTGGGTGGAGTGCGGCATCCAGCGGGGGGTGGAGTGCAGCGTCCAGCGGGGGAGGGGGTAGCTCTTTTGGTTTCTCAAGCTACACTGACAGGGAGGATGAGGACTGGCTTCTGGAGCGAAGGAGGCCAGAGAGGCTCCTGCAGCCACACTGTGCACGCCCTGGCAGTGAGGCAGGGGTGGGGGGCGCAGCACCTTCCGTGTCCTTCTTCCTCCTGCTTCCCGTGAGGTTGACACGCTCCCCACCCAGAGGCACCTTGAGCCTCTGTGGTTAGAAAATGAGAGGGGGCACAGATTTTTCTGTCTCGAAACCAAGGTGTGCATGGTGTATGCCCAAACTTGGCGTTTCCACCTGGAAAATTCCAGGATATGGGGCAGCAGAGTCTGGATCAGAACGAAAACTTACCCAAAACGTTCATCACTTGGGGGAAGCAACCTTACTATTTTGATAGCTGGACAAGAAAATTAAAAACAACACATTTCTAATCAGAACGCTAACATCCATTCATTGCAAAACACAGAAGAGAAAATTCGTAAGGAAGCAGAGAGCCAGAATCGCACCGCGCCTGCGCTCCACTCGAGACTGCAGTTCTTTCCAGTTTCCTTTACTCATACGTACTTATGTCCATGATAAGCCATGATTTTGCTATCCAGGACGGCTATCTTGACTGTATGTCATGGATATAAAGAACATGCACAGCAATCGATAGTGATCTTTCTCAGTTAACCGTCTGGTGGGAGCCCTCGCTTGTCATCGCTGATGCTTTAGGTTGTTGCCAATGGCTGGTAACCTTCTCCTGCAGATGAGACAAGGAGCTGCCTAACTGCTCCACACGTCTGGGTCGCCGAGGCTGCTCCTGGCTGCCTTGCCAGTGTGCATGCCCAGCCCCGGCCTCCACGCGGTGCCTTTCTAAGACAAACTCCTTAGAGCGGACAAGGAGACCAGGCACGCACAGGCAGAGCTCGCGGACACTCGGGCAGGGTCACCAACACATTAGTGACAAGTGCCTTTTGTTACTTGGCTGCTGGCTCTGTAAGAAAATCCTCCATCAATGCTGATCCTAGAGATACTGAATGCCCACCATAAGCAGGACAAGAAGCCCGTCACTGCTTGGTCTTGGAGGCACGGCCCAAGCTCTCTGGGTCTGTCCTCACTTGTCATGGGCACAGGAATACCCTCACTGGGAGGGCCATTTTGAGGATTAAAAAAAGTGATGTGGAAGTGTGTTTTCTGTAGATGAAAATACTATTCACTGCAGGCATGTGTGTGTATCTATATGAGACTAGACTGGGTGATAATAAATTTGTGATAAATATATAGATGGCAGATAAAGGATAGATGGTAAATGGGTTAGATAACTGGACACACTAATGGTAGGTGGATGGCTGGGTCAATCAATGGATCAGTGGTGGGATGAATGGATAAATGGATTGGTTGCTGGATGGGTGGATGGATGGATGCATAGATGGATGGCGAGACAGACAGACAGACGGATGGTAGGCAGGCAGATAGATGGCCAGACAACAGCCCTTCAAGCAATATGTTGAAGGGGGTTCACTGGCCCCTGGTCAGTATGAGGTCTTCACGCCCTGTATGCCCAGGATTTAGTTATAGAGAAGGAAGCTGACCCCTCGCCCAAGCACGCATGGTAATGTCTTGCACTTACAAGGCAGGAGTCTGGAAGCTCAGCTGACCTGGTCCCTGCCTGCTGTCCCAGTGTTAGGTCTGTTTGTTTCTGTAGCCAGGACTCCAGGTGACCCTGTTATCACCGAGCAGCCCCAACAGAGGCTGAGGTGTGGCTGGCCACACTGGGTCAGGTGCCCCTGCTGCGCCTGTAGATGAGGCAACAGGAGGGTGGACCCTGGGCTCATGAACAGACCGAGAGGGGAGCGGCTCTCCACGGGGAGTTTTGGAGCTACTTCCAGGAGAAACCAAGGGAAGTCTGTTCTGGCCACGTGCTCAGAATGGTGCTGCCCACCATTCTGTCCATGCCAACCCTGCTTGTCCCTCTGCTCATGACCTTGCCTGCCTCAGCTGAGCTCAGGGTCAGACTCAGGGCCACCTGCCACCCTGCCATTCTCAGCATTGCAGAAAACAATGCTAACATGTCCTGGGTTTGGTATGGTCACATTTAACTTTCTTTTTCCTTTGTGACACTGGGGGTTGAACTCGGACCTTCCCACTGACCTACCTACCATGCTCCCCCTTAGTGAGACAGTCTCACTAAATCCCAAAGGTGCCCTGCCTGAGCTTTAACTTGGGATCTTCCTGGGTCAGCCTCTCAAGAGTGCTGGGGTTACAGGGCTCTACCACCATGCCAGCCTTACTTTTCTTTTCTAATCCTCTTCACAGACTCATTATTTCTCCACTGCTAACCTACTATTATCATTATCCCCATTTTGCAAATGGGGCAACTAAGTCACCCCCTTCTATGTGGAGGTGATGGGACCTGATGCCAGCCCTTCTGGCCTCAAAGCCCACAGTCCTAACTCTTTGGCTTGGGCTTTCCTGTAGCCCATCACGCCCCAACTCCTCCCTGTGTGGACCCCCCCTTCTGGCATCTCCTTGCCTCCTGGACCCTGAGGAAGGCCCCCAGGGCAGGACAAGGACACACACATGTAGTCATTACCCACTCACCTCTTCTGCATGTGTGGATGAAATATGGCATGCGTGTGTGGAAGCTCCGCCCTCGCTCCTCACCCCCTTCCTCTGCTGCTCCTCCACACTGGCCCCACACAGCTTCCTTCTCCTGACAGTTCTGCCTGGAAGAATGAGTGACTCGAGCTCCCCCGCTCTGATACGCGGAGCTGAGCTGTCAAGCACAGCGTGGCCACCTGCTCTGTAGTGAAGCTGCTCTGCTCTCTTGGGCTTCAGACAAACACGGCAAAGTAGAACGAGAAAGGAAAATCACTCCAGAGAAGGAGGGTGGCGCACTGTCCACCACGGGCCCCAGGGAGGCTTGGCTCGGAGGTCTGATCTCCTGGGTTCCAGTCCCAGCTCTGAGGCCACCAAGGGCCCATGTGTGCTTCCGTGAATTGGCAGACTGGGTCCCTAACTTTACAGGGACCTGCACGGAGCCAGGGCATTTGGGGGTGATTATGGCTGAATGAAGTCGTAAAGAGAGGCCATAATCGGGTAAGGCTGTAGCCAGGTGTCGGGGGAGGGTGGGTGCTGAGAACACAGTGAGAAGGTGGCGCCTGCCACCCAGACTCAGACTCCCCACAAGGCCCGGATGCGCCGTCGCCCTGAGCCCAAGTCCCAGACTGCAGAACCGTGAGAACCAAACCGAGACATCATGTGTGGGCGCTGGTGCAGTAGCTGGAGCTGGCAACTGGAGAGAGAGTCCATCTGCCTCCGTGGCCGCTTCCTTGTTTGTAAGATGGAACTGAAAGAACAAAGAACTGCTCCAGCTGTTCTGCAGATAAGACCAGTGGTATATACTGCCTCAGTCCCTTTCCTCCTGGCGGGAACAGTGTAGGACACCCACAGCTCAAAGGAAGACGTTTGCTGTGCATCACTTCAGTCCCTCATCAGTCCCTCATCCAAGGCAGCAGTGTGGTGGAGGGGCCTGGTGGAGCAAAGCTGCTCACGACATGGGGCACAGGAGGCAGAGAGAAGGGAGGGCGGGGCAGGGGGGATGAGCCCTTCCAGGCCACAACCCTGCGACTGCCTCTTCCCATGAGGCCCCACCCCTGCGAGCACCTCTTCCCAACAGGGCCAGCCCCTTAACAGTCAGCCAGCTGATGTCCCTATAATACAGTCACCTTCGAACTGTCTCCCCATTTATTCCAGGAGGCTCTAGGGGATCAGCTAGATTAAAAACTAAGGATCCTTTGGTCTGGGACTGGCAGAACCACCCAGGAAGGCCTGCTGGGTCATGGATATGCTGGGCACTTGTGTCTGAGGTAGGCTCCGGCTGGCCAAGCGTGTGGCAGTCGGGTGGCTCCTGTCCCCGTGTAGGCTGTGTTTGCATCTCCTACAGCACCAAAGGTGGAAGGTGCATTCTGCGCTTTCAGCACTAGACAGTTTCCTGAAGGAAGGTTCACAGGCAGGTGGCTCATGCGTGTTTTCACACTGTGTTTGAGGTTCATTTCCACTTGCCACTTGGCTCTGTTTACTAAACTCATTGTTAAGATGCTTTGTTTAAAGTCAGCCAGGGAGCTGGGGATGTGATATGGCAGTCTAAGCTCAAGGATCTGGATTCAATCCCCAGTACCTCATGCTGTGCCAGCCCTGGAACCCCAGGCATGCTGTGCTGC